TGAATCACTGCACACTTTTCAGGGTTAAACTCCATCTGCCACTTCTCAGTCCAGCTCTGCGTCTTATCAATGTCCCTTTGTAACCTAGAACAGCCCTCCGCACTATCCACAACGCGACCCACCTTCGTATCATCCGCGAACTTGCTAATTCACCCTTCCACTCCTTCATCCAAATCATTTACAAAAATTACAAATAGAAGAGGACCCAGAACAGATCCTTGTGGTACACCACTCGTAACTGAGCACCATGTTGAATATTTTCCGTCCATTACCACCCTTTGTCTTCTAAGGGTCAGCCAATTCTGAATCCAATCTGCCACAGTTCCCCCTATCCCATGCCTCCTTACCTTCTGCATGAGCCTACCATGGGGAACCTTATCAAACGCCTTACTTAAATCCATGTATACCACATCCACTGCTCCACCTCGGTACAGAATGTTAAGAACAAGGTAGAAAGAAAGAACAAAGTTAAAAGTTAAACATTGCATAGTACAATATAAAATTTACGAAGTAAGGTCAAAAGTTACACATTGCAGACTTCCTTAGCTTTAAGTAGAAAATAAAGAAACAAAGCTGATAGTTTAAACGTTACAGTCTTTCTTAAGTGCTTATCCATGTTGGGACCGCACTTCAAGGAATCGCCTTGAGTCCGGAAGTACAGGCTGAGGCCACACCGTGCCAAGAGACCGCCACGTACAGCTGAAAGACCACCATGCCAGGCCAAGAGACCACCATGTACAGCTGAAAGACCACCATGCCAGGCCAAGAGACCGCCACGTACAGCTGAAAGACCACCATGCCAGGCCAAGAGACCACCACGTACAGCTGAAAGACCACCATGCCAGGCCAAGAGACCACCACGTACAGCTGAAAGACCACCATGCCAGGCCAAGAGACCACCACGTACAGCTGAAAGACTACCAAGCCAGGCCAACAGTCTGCCACACTGGGCCATTGAAAAATCACCACGCCAGGCTGAGAGACCACCATGCTGGGCTGAGAGTCCGCCACACCGGGCCAAAAACCTTATTAGCAATGTGGAAGTGTGTGAGCTAAAAGGGATAGTAGTAGCATGGAAAATTTGCTGAGGTAGAAAACAGAGAGCTGGATTTTACCAGAAATTGGCTAGAGTCAATTTTGGTGGCTTCACTATTGTGGGTTTAAGTGACAAGGCTCACGCTATTTTCTGAAATTCCTCGTAATAGCCATGTACCATGTCTCTGTGGTGCCACATCGTCCTATCTTGTGATTCCTGTCACCACCATCATCTGTAAAACCCAACTGTGCATCTGGGCAAGTTCTGTCAGTCGGGAGTTGCACTTCATTATATACACACCAGGAGGCAAACCGAAAACAAGCACTTCTCGGGATATATAGGTGGCAAAACTGACATTTCATTGCAAATACAAGTGCACATTCATAAAGATATTGCTGTTTAAAAACCAAGCTGTCAGGAACAGAGCTAGGACTGAAATGAGAAGAAACTCCTTTTCTCAGAGAGTTATCCGAATTTGGAATATGCTGTCTGAAAGAGGGTGGAGGCACATTCCATAGGAGGTTTCAGAAGAGAGCTGGCTAGATATTTGAAAGTGATTAAACTGGAGGATTAGGGCTGATAATGAGACTAACTGGGTAGCTCTTTCAGGAGCTGGTACAGAAGTGATTGGTTGAATGGCCTCCTTCTGTACTAGAAAATTCATTCTTCCAATGCCTAGCAGAACCTAACAACTTCTCATTGTTCATTCACTTTTCTCCAACAACAGTCAAAGCAAAGAATAGACAAACAAACAGAACACATGGAACCTGCTTCCCTTTCAAGTAATACCATATTTACAGTCAATAAGTGGTTGCTGCACCCGAAGCTCATCTGCTCGAGTATCAATTGAGTCCTGCTTGGCTTTTTATGCCTGACGCTGTGGCGCTGTATCATGCAAGAGGTGATGTTGCTCATGCTCACTGTCATTTTTGTCCTTAGACGATTTTTCCAGCTGCCATTTTCCCAGCTGGTTAATATTGATCACATCCCGTCATTGCCTGCTCCAGTTGTGCAAAGCACAGCATGCTAGGATTATGCAGCATGCCCTGACTGTATGGCAAGGACCTGTCAGAATGAACTAAACTTTGGAGCCTTATCTTCAGTGGGTCTGTTGTCTGATCTGTTCTACCTTGGCCCTGATTGAGGAATGGGTAGCTATGACAGTACTGTGGCTGTAAGAGGTGAATTTTGTCTGTTTTTGTTACGAGAGGTTGAGACAGAGGCACCAACCACTTCAAAGCCAATGAAGTAAAGAGCTTGTGAGGCCTTGGAAATTTTTAAAATGTTGGAACAATAGAAGCAGCCCGAATGGGTGGTGTCAAGCTCCCACAGAACCAGAATCTTTTGGTTAGCTTTCAGTAGCTGTTGGGGTTGTAAAAACTGCTACATCTCTTTCTCTTTTTTCTACAGTGAAAAGCTTGGGTTCCCTTCCTGCTGCTAGAATTGCATGTGAGACAATCTATTTTACTGGCTTTGCCTTTGCCAAGGGTGCACTTATGGAATGTTACAATATTGGAGCAATTAATGAGTAGTTTATTATTTCATTAGGTATTTCAACCCAATTCTTTTTATTTTGTTTGTACTTTAAGCATGGTGTATGAATTAAATGTGTCTTCCTTAAAGCCTGGTAGTTTGACCAATTGAATTGCATCTGGAACCCAATGCCTTGCACATACCTTTATAATAAGAAAAAGTTAGGGTCTAGTCTATCTCCTTGACATGTTTTGAGGGGGTTTGGTGTGGCCCACAGCACAGCTTTGTATCTGCACCTGTCTCAGTCGGGAAGTTGTGTGACAGAGTCAGCTATATCCTGAGGGGAGACTTGATAGAAATCTATAAAATTATGAGATGGATAGATAGGATTGACAGTCAGAATCTTTCTCCCAGCGCTGAAATGTCTAAAACTAGGGGGCATGCATTTAAGGTGAGGGGGGAAATTTGAAAGGAGATGTGAGGGTCAAGTTTTTTACACAGAGAGTGGTATGAATCTGGAATGTGCTGCCTGGGGTGGTGGTGGAGGTGGATATGATAGAGACTTTTAAATAAGCACGATATGATAGAGACTTTTAAATAAGCACATGAATATGCAAAGAATGGAGGGATATAGACCAAGGGCAGGCAGAAAGCATTAGTTTAATTTGGCGTCATGTTTGGCAGAACATCATTGGCTAAAGGGCCTGTTCCTGTGCCTGAATAGTTCTCTGTTCTATGTTCTATGAGTGTAATAGTATGGTACTTTAAATGCAAAGCGTCTATAGCACCCTCAACACTGGGAAAGCCATCTAAGTTGGTGCAGCACTGAACTTGTCACAGGTAAATAGGGTAAAGTAGTATGATCTTGCACAAGTTGCACCAATAAATAGCCTTAATACATGGGTTGAGAGTTGTGGAACCCCACACTGGTCACCAGTGGCTCTTTAGAACGAGCCAGTTGCACAAGATTTAATGCAGCTGTCACCTCGATGGTCACTAGGATAGAATGGCGATCCACTCCTTCATGTTGCTGTTCATGCTCCAACAGTTGGTATAGTTGTGTGACAATGTCCCAGAACATCCTCAGCTTGCTGTGACACTGCACCTCACACATCTGGAGGAAATGGCTTTGAGCCTGATGAACTGATGGGCAAAAGATGGATGTGTGGACAGAAGCCTGGCAGATGGAATGGAATGTGGGAAAATGTGAGGTTGTGCACTTTGGCAGGATAAAGATGTTGAATATTATTTGAATGGAAAAAGCAGTAGCACAGAGGGATTTGGGACTCGATGTGCATTCATCACAAAAAGCTAGCATCCAAGTCCAGCAGGTAATAGGGAAGGCAAGAGGAATGTTGGCCTTTATTTCAAAGAGAATTGAGTATAAAAATAGGGAGGACTTACCAAAACTATTCAAGGCATTTGTCGATCCACGGCTAGAATACTATGAAGAGTTTTAGTCCCCTTATTCTAAGGAAAGATATACTGGCATTGGAGATGCTGCTGGTCCTGGGTTTGCTGGCACATCTGTTGGTCCTAGTTTCTCTGTATCTTCATTGCACTGCAACTATATAATGACAGCCCTTGCTCCGGCTGGATCCATTGGCCATACTACCAATGAACCTGAGTGAGAAGTATAAGATAAAGAAAAGATCCTTAGTAATGAGAGCAATTGTATTTGCACCATTCACAAATTATAATTTAGCATAGTCTTCCAAACAGTGGGACATGGAGGATTTCAACCAGGGGGCAATGGAATATCTCTGCTCGGAACTTTTCACATAGGACCTTTATACTGAGGAATGCAGCTCAAGCTATTTCATACAAATGCAGTTGGAGATTTTAAGTGGCTTTGCATATTGATACCTTATTCTCCCACCACCACATATCCCTGTGCATTCATTGCACTGCAACCAATGTGGTGATAACCCTGTCCACACGGATTGAAGAGAGGTTTGGATTCAGGTTTGGTGAGAAAGATCAGGATCAAGGGTTTTGCATTTTGGTGTATAGGGAACTGATGGGGCAACAGGTCTAGGTCAGAGTTGTAGATATTAGCTTTGTGAATTTTGGGTTTGATGAGCTTGGGTGCAGAGTTCTAATATAGAGCCAACAGGAGCAGCAGTGATTTTTTTGGCTCAGACTTCAGGTAAGTAATTTTTGTGATACGCATTCTGCATATTTAGTTTTCCTGAGTGCAGTCAGTGGTAGAATTTGGTGTCTCAGGGCAAGCCAATCATGCACCAAGGATCTCACGCGGGCATTGCACCCTTAACGCCAGTGCATGTCAGCAAGGGATGGGTAAAGGATGTGTCTTGTCTGTGGTAAGTGTCTGTTTGCCAATGTGCCCACATTTTCTACCTGCCAATTTGGACACTTAGGTGGCTTAATGATGGCACCATGGAGTCAAATTTGTGATTCTTCTATCAAATACTTTTTTTTTTTCAAAATCCAGGCAAGTTTTAATAGCTCTATTTCTTGCTTCTTTCAGAAATGCAGATACTAGGAAAATTCCTGCTGATCACACATTTGGTGTTCTACTACATCCTGATAAGTATGGTAATGATTCAAATATAAATAGGAATTTCTGATGGAAGGATTATAATTTAACTTCTGGCAAATATCTAGATCTGAAAGTTGATAATGTAGTTTTAAATATCATTGTGCCAGTGTTGTATTTATTTGATGTTGTTCAGTATTTGTGCCAGAATTGGAGGGGGAGGTGATGGCCTAGTGGTATTATCGCTAGACTGTTAATCCAGAGACCCAGATAATGTTCTGGGGACAAGGGTTTGAATCCTACCATGGCAGATGGTGGAATTTGAACTCCATAGATATCTGGAATTATGAGTCTAATGATGACCGTGAATCCATTGTCGATTGTTGGAAAAACCCATCTGGTTCACTAATGTCCTTTAGGGAAGGAAACTGCCATCCTTACCTGATCTGGCCTACATGTGACTCCAGACCCACAGCCATGTGGCTGACTCTGAACTGCCCTCTGGGCAGTTAGGGATGGGCAATAAATGCTGCCGAGCCAGGGATGGCCTCATCCCGTGAATGAATAAAAAAAAATTCTCTCCTTTGATTTTGGGCTGTAAAATTCTGCTGTAAGTATTAGTAAACCACATTTGTAGACAGTCAAAGACACAGAGAGGGAATTTCACACATTGCACCAACTGCTTTATATGAGAAAATATCCCTGTCTTAAATAAAAACAGAAATTGCTGATGAAACTCTGCAGGTCTTGCAATATCTGTGGGGAGAAAGCAGAATTTAACATTTCGGGTCTGGTGACCACTCATCAGAACATCTGTTTTAGGCTGGTTTAGATAATGCTTCTCATGCTGAACAGAAAGCTGTTTGAACTTATCATAGGCTGATGCCACAAACAGTCTGGGTATGTAGATAATGTGAACTTTCATCCAACAATCTGGAACATTCATAGAGTCATGGAGTCAAACAGCACAGATACAGAGCCTTCGGTCCAACCAGTTCACGCCGACCATAATCCCAAACTAAACTCGTCCCACCTGCCTGCGCTTAGCCCATATCCCTCCAAACATTTCTCAGAATCAGAATCAGAGAATCCCTACAGTGTGGAAACAAGCCCTTCAGCCCAGCAAGTCCACACCGACTCTCAGAGCATCCCACTCAGACCCATGCCCCATAACCCATCTAAGCTACACATCGCTTATTGATGTACTTATCTAAATGTCTTTTAAACGCTGTAATTGTACTCGCATCCACCATTTCCTCTGGAAGTTCATTCCACACACAAACTACTCTCTGTGTTAAAAAGTTGCCCCTCATGTCATTTTTAAATCTTTCTCCTGTCACTTTAAAAATATGCCCCCTAGTCTTGAAATCCCATGCCTTAGGGAAAGGACAGCTGCAATTCACCTCATCTATAGCCCTCATTATTTTATAAACATCAATAAGGTCACCTCTTAACCTCCTACACTCCAGTGAAAAATGTCCCAACCTGTTCAACCTTCCAGCAGTGCAAGGCCATGGGAATATTCATAGTTGTTGATCAGTGGCCAGTGCAGGGCCATGAGGATATGCATAATTATTGATCAGTGGCCAGTGCAGGGCCATGAGGATATGCATAATTATTGATCAGTGACCAGTACAGGGCCATGAGGGTAGGAACAGGATTTATTGATATCTGATCAATGCAGAGCCATGGAGGTATGAGCAGAAATATTTGATCTGTGCTCAGGACAGGGTGATGGGAGTGAGCAACAGTTTTTGATCAGTAACCAGCGCAGGACCACGCAAGGGCATTGAACTTCTTGTGGTGCTATATGGTTGGTTTAAACTTTTGGTATTGACCACTATGGTTATCTGTTCTTACTGTCTTTGAACAGTACAGAGGACCTCATAGATTCTTGAGGAAAGATGACTCTCTGCTCTTATTTGTTTGTGTCATCAAGGCATCAGGGCAATGTCAGAGAACCTAGGAGCATACTGTTTGCCCTGATATACTGCAATATAACAGCTTTTATTGACATAGTATCTTTAATAAAACATCCCAAGGTGCTTCAAAGGAGTGTTTATAAAGCAAGCTATTAAGGAGAGAATTGGTAAGATGATCAAAGGTCTCGTCAAAGACATATGTTTTAAGGACAACTTAAAGGAAAATAAAAGGTAGAGATGAAAGGAAATTCAGGTGAAAATTTCAGAGCTTTGGACTTAGGCGACTGAAAGCATAGCCACCAAGGGTGGAGCAGTTAAAATTGAGAATGCTGAAGAGATCAGAATTAGATGGGTGCAGAAATCTCAGATTTTGTGTGATTGGAGGAGCTTATCAAAACTAGAAGGCACTTTGAAAACAATGTTTTAGCATTTTAAAATCAACGTGCTGCTTGACTAGGAGTAAATGTATGGATGATGGTGAATGGAACTTGGTGTGAGCAGGGACACAGGCAGCAGTTTTGGATGACCTGAGGTTTAAGTAGACTATGATGCAGGAAACTAGCAAAGATCTAATCATTGGCTAATCATTAAGAATTGGTAACAGTATGATTGCACAAGTATTCTTTATAATATAATGTTGCCTTGTTACTTGCAGTCATTCACTGGACCACAGAAGTGTTTCATTGTTTGTAAAGTGTTTGGTGTCCTGAGGTCATGATAAGTCACCTTATAAATGAAAGAAATATTTCTTTTAACATGAGCTCTGCAGATATAGAAGAAGAGAATGCTGGGGTTGCCAATCGTAACTTTGATTTGGGTTTATTAGCAAAGTAAAAGAATATGTAGGAAAGTTTGTTGATAGCAATTTTAAATCAAGATTAGTTGTTTGAAGAAAACTGTGCTAAATTTATATTTCTGGTTGCTAATAACAGAATCAATATGTTCTTTACATATGGAACATGTATGAACTTATATGAATTTTCGGAGAGACAGACAATTTTGCAGCTCATACCAGATTTACTTGTTTTTAATGATATGCAAAGTTGTTATTACAGTTGACACTGAAGTGATTATTAGTGAATGAATGTGTGGTATTAAAGATTTTAATAATGTGAGTATGTGCAATATTAAAACTATTAGAATAGTTATATGTGGTATTGAAGATAATATTTTGATTGATGAGTTATGCTTTGCAGGATTAGTGAGGCTTTTATTTTAATATACTAGAAGCTATCTAAAAAGCCAAAGCCCAAAATGCAAGATTTTCCCAAGGTTCGAAAGAGTGAAAAGAAAACGTGATAAACCTTGAACCGTCTTTTGTTGATATTACACTTGGGTTTTAAAAGCCTGAAGGTGAAGAAGCAAGGAAGAACATACGAACAGGAGTAGGCCATTCAGTCTGTTCTATCATCCAGTCAGATAATGGCTGATCTGTATCGTAACTCCATCTATGTCATTTGGTTTCATAACCCTTACAAAAATCTATCAATTCCAGTTTTGAAGTTTTCAATTTGTTAGTATCAAAAGTAGTTTTTGGGAAAAGAATTCCAGATTCTGGTAACATCCAGCCTAACTGATGTTCCTCAGTTGGTTAACTCCAACGCTGGGGAGATTGAGATCACTTTAGGCATGGCACGGTAGCACAATGGTTAGCACTGCTGCCTCACAGCGCCCGGGTTTGATTCCATCTTGGGTGATGGTTTGTGTGGACTTTACACATTCTCTCTGTGTCTATGTGGGTTTGTGTCAGGTGGTCTGGTTTCCTCCCACAGTCCAAAGATATGCAAGTTAAGTGGATTGGCCATGCTAAATTGCCCCATAGTGTCCAGGAATGTGCACCTAGGTGGGTTAGCCATGGGAAATTTGGGGTTTCGGGAATAGGGTCAAGGGCTAGGTCGGGGGGTGATATTTTATTTTGAGGGTCGGTGCAGACTTGATGGGCCTCTTTCTGCACTGCAGGGATTCAATATTTCTTAAGGGGCTTGACAAGATAAATGCTGAGAGGATGTTTCCCCTCATGGGAGAGTCTAGGACCAGAGAGCATAGTTTCAGAATTAAGGAGTGTCAATTTAAGACTGAGAAGAGGAGGAATTTCTTCTCTCTGAGGGTTGGAAGTCTTTAGAACTTCTTGCCACAGAGAGATGTGGGCCACACTCCTTGTGTGTATTCAAGGCTGAGATAGATAGATAGATAGATTCTTAATCATGAGGGGAATCAAGGGTTATGGGAAAGGGCTGAATGGCCTACTGCTGTTCCTATTTCCTATAGTATTATGGATGGTGGAGAGGCTTTGGGGATTCAGGAGGCGAGTTACTTGCTGCAGTATTCTGAGCCTTTGATGTGCTCTTGTGGCTTAGTCCAGTTACATTTCTGGTCAATGGTAACTCCCAGGATGTTGATAGTTGGGTTTCAGTGATAGTTATGCCGTGAATGTCAGCTGGCCACTGCCTGCCTTTGGTGCTGCACAGCTTCTGTCTCCTGGAGGCACTTTCTGGCCTGAAACATCTTCTTTGAAGTGGAAGCAGCATTCAAATTTTTGGTAGATTTAGACTTCAGAAATAAGTATCTGCCTAAAAGGTAAAAATCTGGTCTGTATCAAGGCAGTTTATATGTAAGAGATATATGAACTGTATGTTAAGGTTTTCAGCTCAAATGAGGTAAAAACCTATTTATTAATTGCTTTGGTAGAGTTGTAATTATTGTAATTGCTTTTTTTCATTTATATAAATGACTTGAATGTGAACATAGGAGGTAATGGTTAGTAAGTTTGCAGATGACGCCAAATTTAGAGGCGTAGTGGACAGTGAAGAACATTACCTCAGTACAATGGGACCTTGATCAGATGGCCAATTAACCAAGGAGTGACAGATGGATATTAATTTAGATAAATGTGAGCTGCTGCATTTTGGAAAAGCAAATCAGTGCAGGACTTATACTCTTAATGGTAAGGTCCTGGGGAGTGTTGCTGAACAAAGAGACCTTGGAGTGCAGGTTCATAGTTCCTTGAAAGTGGAGTCCCAGGTAGACAGCATGGTGAAGAAAGCATTTGGTATGCTTGCCTTTATTGGTCAGTGTATTGAGTATAGGAGTTGGGAGGTCGTGTTGTGGCTGTACAGGACATTGGTTAGGCCACTTTTGGAATCTGTGTGCAGTTCTGATGTCCCTGCTGTAGGAAGACTGTTGTGAAACTTCAAAGGGTTCAGAATAGATTTACAAGGATGTTGTCAGGGTTGGAGGATTTGAGCTGTAGGGAGAGGCTGAATAGGCTGGGGCTTTTTTACCCTGGAACATTGGAGGCTGAGGGGTGACCTTATAGAGGTTTATAAAATCATGAGGGGCATGGATAGGGTAAATAGACAAGGTCTTTTCCTTGGGGTGGGAGAGTCCAAAACTAGAAGGCGTAGGTTTAAGGTGAGAGGGAAAAGATTTATAAGGGGCAACTTTTTCACGCAGAGGATGCTGCGTGTATCGAATGAGCTGCCAGAGGAAATGGTGGAAGCTGGTACAGTTACAACAGTTAAAGACATCTGATGGGTATATGAATAGGAAATGTTTAGAGGGATATAGGCTAAAAAATGCTGGCAAATGGGACTAGATTAATTTAGGATATCTGGTTTACATGACCGAGTTGGACCGAAGGGCCTGTTTCCATGCTGCACAGCTGTATGACCGTATGAGTCTATGTGGGCAGCATTGTGGCTCAGTGGTTAGCACTGCTGCCTCACAGTGCCAGGGACCTGGGTTCGATTCCAGTCTCGGGTGACAGTGTGAACTTTGCACATTCTCCCCGTGTCCGCGTGGGTTTTCATCAGGTGCTCCAGTTTCCTGTCCAAAGATGTGCAGGTTGGGTGGATTGGACATGCTAAATTGCCCATAGCGTCCAGGAATGTATGGGGTAAATTCATGGTGCATATGGGGTTATGGGGATAGGGTGGGTCTTGGTGGGATGCTCTTTGGAAGATCAGTATGGGCTGAATGGCCTGCTTCCATGTTGTAGGGATTCTATGATGGAAAGGAAACACAATTAATATGCTAATTTACTAGAAAATGAAAAGTGGATTGCATTTTTGACCAAGTGATATGGCTTGGGACAAAAGCGAAATGTGGTGAAAGTCTAAAATCAGTTGGGAATAGTAGGAAGCACATAGTTATTTATTTGACAATGCGATCTGCAAACCAAGTCATAATCATATGAATTACACCTTGATGTATAAATGAATTCTGAGTCCCACGCATTCACATACATATATTGTTGCTAATCTGATAGGTATTCAGAATTCTATTAATTGTAAGGCCTCATCTCAATGAAGGCATTATTTTTTAGGTGTTGGGGACCTTATTTACTACAGAACTCCTACCACTTTCCTCCGAGGGAGTGATAGGGACCAAGGTATCTTCAATACTCTCCGCCACCATTTGATGAAAGCTAACTACCATAATTTCAAATCACTTCTCGAAGCTTTCCGACATTATGACAAGGTAAATTATTTTAGTAGTGTTATTATCCTGACACTATGGCTGGGACTTCCCTTTTTTTTTGCCCAAATGTGGGGACAACATCTTTGAAAGTGTAAAAACCGAAAGAATTGCGGATGCTGTAAATCAGGAACAAAAGCAGAAGTTGCTGGAAAAGCACAGCAGGTCTGGCAGCATCTGTGAAGGAAAAAACAGAGTTAACGTTTCGGGTCCGGTGACCCTTCCTCAGAACTGCTTCTGTCAGTTCTGAGGATGGGTCACCGGACCTGAAACATTAATTCTGACTTTTTCTTCATAGATACTGCCAGACCTGCTGAGTTTTTCCAGCAACTTCTGCTTTTGATCTTTAAAAGTATGATAGCCACCATGCCGAGCAGCAAGTGAATACGCTGAACTGAGTGCCAGTCAGGCACTTCAGTGGTGTATTGGCAGGCATCTTGACCAATCAGGTTCGTAGACAGCAGTGACCAGCCCTGTTTAGGCTGCCAGCCAATCAGAAGCCAGTAGGCTCTGCAAACAGCAGCGACATGTAGAAGGCCAAGGTTACTGGCTTAACAGCAAACAGGGCTAAAGATAGAACCCAGAGGGAGTTTACAAGGTTTTTAGGGATGGGGACCACACGAGAGGGGGCAGGGAGAGAGGGAGGTCAAGGGAAGATTGAAGCTTTCAGCAGCCACCTTTCAAGACCCCATCCATGATGCTTACTGCCCCCAGACTAGGGTAAATCAAGACCTGAACTCTGTGCATTCAGTGAGCAGGCTGCCCCGTTTTACGTTTCAGGAAGACTGCTACTTTTCTCATCTGCTGTGAACAAAGTCGATCAGGCTGATGGTGGATTGAGGCTTCTAAGTGATTGACCATGAAAGGGCCTTAGTTGGTGGCCGGTTGGCAATGTCGACCATGGACCTGCCTGCCCAGAATTTAATTGTTAAGGTAGTGAGACAGAAGGGAGTATCGCGTTGATGCTTACCTGCTTGATTTTTTGCTCTTTCCATTACCTTCCCCATCACCTCGAGATGATGCACCTTTGCAAGGGAGACCGAAAACAGAAGTGGCATCTGCTTTTGTTTTAGAAACCCACCTCTGGTGGCTACATGACTGTATTTTGCATTTTCCCATGGAGACAGCTTTCCTTTCGATGAAAAATAACAGGAGCATGAATGGAAGTAAGTCCCAGACACTCAGGTCAGCCATCACTGTGGCTGATACTTGCCCTAAGGGAAAGAGTTTATGCCACAGTCTGCCATTGTGTCTCAGGGAGCTGATGGGTCTGGCACTCATGAGGGAGGGAAGAAAGATCTTCCTGTTGGAGTGTGGCAAGAGAGGTTACCTTATCTTAAAACTCTCTTCACTGTCTTCTTTGCCTGCATGAGAATATGACCATACAATCATAAAAAACGAGTAGATCACTCTGTCCTTCAAGCCTGCTCTGCCATTCACCAAGATCATGGCTGATCTGATTTTAATTCAACCCTATATTCTTGCACATCCCCTTGGTGATCCACAATCTATCTACCTTTGCCTTCAAATACTTAAAGGTTCTGCATCCACTGCCTTTTGAGGAAGAGAATTCTAAAGATTCACAACCCTCTGAGAGAAAGAAATTGTTCCTACATCTTTGTCTTAAATGGGCGACAACTTGGAATCCAAATAGTCTTGCCTACTGCACCAATGCTCATAAAATGTCAGGTGATGCCAGGAACTGGCAAAGTTCAATGCTGGCTCTTGCCAAACCTGTAATGGAAGCTAATGACAAAAGAAGAAGCCGTTTCAAATTGAAGACTCATTTTTACTTAACTTTTAAATTCCTCTCATCTCCAAATAATGCCTCTGACACTAGGCAGCTGCTGAAATCTACCCACATTTCTTAAAATTAATAAAACGTACTGGAGACAGGTTCTTTCCTGAGTCCACAGTGATTTATATCAGGTCCTTAATAGGAGCAACCCTACTTCCTTCCCTGTCCTCAGAAAAATGAGCAAAGAAGGAAATGGAGACAGGTCTTCCAGCCACATAGACTGAGCCAACTGTTTTTCTTGCTCTTGCCGACAAGGAATATCCAGCAGCTAGTATTCAGTCTTTAGCATTTTGTCTTTCTATTCTTTCATAACATGTGGTGTTGCTGGAATGACCAGCATTTGTTTTCTATCTTTAAATGCCCTTGAATTGAATGGCTCGTTAGACCATTGCAGAGGACAGTTAGGAGTTGATGACCATACTGTGGATCTGGTGTCACATGTAGGCCAGTTGAGTAAAGGTGACAGATTTCTTTTTCATCTAGGTGGGACAATTGATTATTTTTTGTGGTAGCCATTACTGCAACCAGTTTTATATTCCAGAATTATGAATCAAATTTAAATTCCACAAGCTGCTGTGCTGGGATTTGATCACATCTCCCCAGAGCATAAGCTTGGATCTCTTATTAATCTACTGACATTCCCACTACATGACCACTCTTTCCCCTCCCTTCGTCCAATTATAATAAGCAATACATTTTCATTTTTCTTTCAAGATTACTGTTATGGTTAAGACCATTCAAGCAGGTTAACTCAAACAAAAATAATTTTACAGCCATTAGTTTTGAGGACAGGCTTTGAGTTGGAGCTACTTGGACAGAATTAGGCTTAAAGGGGATATGATGAAGGAATTGGATAGGTCATTTGAGATGGATGTCATGGATATGAATAGTGAGAACTAGACAGATGGTGCATAAAATCCAAAGACAGAAAGCTCGGTCAGGTACTTGAAAGTTTAACTCTTTGCAGGGAAGCAGAGTTGTCTTGACTACCTGACTTCAACATTCAGTACTTGGAAGGAAACTTGACAAGTTCCAAAGAGAGAGAGGATTTATTCGATTTTGAAGCATAATGGCTTAATGCAACTTCCTCATGGCTAGCTTCATTATCTTAGCGGTTGAAGAGGAATTCCGGAGAATGTCGACTGGATTATTGCAGTTCCTTCCTCTCTTCTGAATGAGATCTTTGCTCTTATTCCCTTTAACTGCTGAGGTATGGTTAATGAATGTGATCTTGCATATAGAAGATGATCACTTTTTGCCCTTCTTTACACGAATGTGCATGCTTGTGTACTGCGTTTATTTTCTCTTGTGCTGTTTGTGTTGACAGCTTGAGTGTGCACCACGCTACTTCTTAGTCTAATCTGCCTCTCATTCTAAGTGATTTGTTGTGCCAGAAGCTTCCATCCTGGCTGGTAGCATTCTTTGACTGGCAGCCAGCTAGATTTCTGGGGGTCACAACTTCCTTTGAATGTATGATGCATGTCGCTGCATATGAGCCAGTCATGTGCAGGCCTGTGTTGTCTGATTGTTCTGTCAAATTTTGGAGTTTGGAGCTCCTGCTTTATAAATCTGCCTTTCCTAACTCTGCAACTTGAATTCTATAGCCATGTTGGTCAACGAATCCTTTATATTTGGTTGTTTTCTCTTTGTCGTTCACAGCTAAGTAGCTGACTGGCACCTTTGTGAGAGAAACAGCTTCTTAGGCCCAATTTGAAGACAGAAAATCTCAAGAAGTCTGACTGAATAAGTTTCATTTCTGAGCCTCGCCTGCCATGTATGGGTGTTTGAAAACGCCACCCAAGACCCAGCAATTTCACTCTACCGCCACCCCCCGAACTCACCTTGTTCACTAAACTGAATGGATAAAAAACCATAGCAGTTGATCTCTTGAATTCCTGTACATGTAAACTGTGACATTGAATTGTACCATTGTATGCACCAACTCCATTTCTTCGGCCTGAAAAATTATGTTGGGCATACAGTCGTTCCCTCTTCATAATCAGGCTCCATTTCCCGTCACCCAAATGCATGTTACTTACTGGTACCCTGTAATCAGGTGCAAGGAATCAAGCAAGTGAAACTGGCAAGATATTGCAAAGATATGTAGGACTTTAAGATGCTCATTGTCAGTGCAAACCCCATGTCAAAATGATGACTACCCACATCCATGCTGATTCATACCCAATGTGTAATTCCCTGTTTTTCAAGGGATTTTTTGAGGCTTCGAGTATTGATTTCTCCATTGCCACATGCAGTACGCATTTATAATGGTCAGGAGCATAATGTTGCAAAATCAAGTGAAAATGCGCAGGCTTTATTACTTGCAATTTTTAATAATTCATAGTAGGCCCCTGAATAGTGCATATGAGCATCTTAATATTAATGTAGTTAGATATTGAGCAGAGTAATCCAGATAACTTGTATTGCCTTTCTTTATAAAAATTGAGCTACACCATTTTTAGAATATCGTGCAGTGATTTCTTATTTTGTTTTCCGTGCTTTTGTCCAGAACGGTGATGGAAAAATTGACCGAGAAGAACTACGAGATGTCTGCATACAGTTTAACTTGAATTTAGACCCCAAACTGATTGACCAATTAATTGAATATTGTGATACTGAAGGCAAAGGAACAATTAACTTCTTGGAATTTGCAAATTTTCTGAATTGGAAAGATAAAATGCCTTTGGGAGAAATTGAGCAAAAGATTATTACAAAAGGTACAAGAGTTTTGAACTGGTTGATTATAGTTTTAACAATTGTATGCTTGTTCAGTGAACAGAAATGATTTTTCCATCAGGAAACTTGCCAACTGAAGATGGCAATGCGCTGGTTGCATCTGAAGATATTGTACCTCTAGATATTGGAAGCTCGGCCAAGACACTCAGAACTATAACTCGAAAAGAAGATAGGTCTAATGGACATTATTGGAAAACTTCTTCATTGATCAATGGAGTTGTAGGGAGTTATTCACCATCTGGCAAGTAGCAATACCTAAGTCTGTTTATCGTTTATCTTGTAAATGTTTATTTTACAAAAGTGAACAGTTCTGCTTTTATATGAAGTATATGATTTCATGGTTTGAAGATTAATTATTGAACATGTGAATTTGCATTATCTGTAATCTGCATTTTTAGGTAGAAATTTGTCTTGGACATTTGTGCAAATATGTACAGCATCTCATAATAATTAAATCTGATATTCAGTCACATTGCAATCAATAGAATTAAATATCATGTACTGTAGGGCAGCCAATCTGATATCACCCATTCTGCACCATCACCTGAGGTGAATTTTGATGCCTTGAAATAGAAGTTTTAGTCTATGTAAAAGTTAACTAGGTATTAGATATTATGCGTATAATTTAGCGATTCAGTTAGTCCTATTATAATCCAGCAAGTCAGTTGGTGAAGGGTTGAACTAGAGCCAGTGTTAATATTTATAAGCATTTATTTACAGAGCTACACATTACAAGCATATGCTTCCAAACTCAATTCTATGCTTCCAATCTGGGCCAAATCTAATTTTGTTTTGACTAAGTGTAAATTTCATTGAGTTTCATGGAGATTTTCTCTTTGCAAGGCCTAGTGAGTTCTCTTGCTACATCTTACCAAATTTGCCTCATTAACTACTGACCTATCCCACCCATTCATGTGGCACCCCTCTCTGAATATAGCCTGATGCTCCCACTTGCTGGAACAGCTCACCACTGCTAGGATATCCTGGAATGGACTGGTATTCCGGGCATCCGCGCATCTTTAAAACATTGTTTTGCACGTGGACAAACACTGTTAGTTTGGAGACGTCCTGCATGGTTCCTGACATCTACCCTGGATGAGGCAGCAAAAGGAAAATTGGTGCCTTGCTTTGTGGGCAGGACCTGGAGGTCCTGGTGAATTGGGGGCACAGAAATGGGCTGTCCTCTTCCCATAGGATCAGCAGAGACAACCACAACACCAGGCCATGTCAGTTTGGTCTGAGCTTGCCACCCAGCTTAGTGCAGTCCTAGCCAGGTGGAGGAATGCACAGCAGTGTGGAAAGATGGTGTATGACCAGTGTAAGTGCTACCACCTCTTTTTTTTAAAATTCCTTCACAGGCTGAGGGCCTCGCTGGCTAGGCTTGCATTTATTGCCCATCCCTAATTCCAACTCAACCACGTTGCTATGGAACTGGAGTTGCATTCAGGCTGGACTAGGCAAGGACGGCAGTTTCTTTCCCTAAAGGACTTCCGTGAACCAGATGGGGTTTTCCAACAATCAACAATGGATTCAAAGTCATCAGTAGACTCTTAATTCCAGATATTTATTGAATTCACATTCCACCATCTGCCATGGTGGGATTTGAACCCAGGTCCCCAGAACATTACGCTGGTGTCTGAATTAACAGCCCAGCAATAATACCACCTGGCCCCTACTGTTCTCTCTGCTATCTCACACTCACTCTGACTCTGCTACTGCATCCACCTCCCACCAAGACTCATGCTCTACAAGTCTCACTACTACCTTCAACATCTCCCCTCACTCACTCTACCCTCTCCAACTCCCCACATCACTGGGCCTGCATGCCCACTGCACTGCCTTACTTACTTGGGATCTGCACCCCACCTGCACCAAAAGTAATACCTGTGCCACCCGCTTTCATTTCTCTTAATATCTGTCTGTCATTTCAGGAGGAAAATTACCCCCAATAGGACAGAAAGAGTCAAAATGGGATGGTATGGTGCCCAGCATTCGGCTCCTCACTCCTTATGAGGAGAGGATTCTGACTCTGGACATCCCGAGTCAGTGACTCACCGTGGATCACTCTTGACTTCATATGCTAGGACCCCCTGAGTGAAGGTTATCTCGGTCAACTTGACTGAGGACCTGCTGACAACCAAGACATGCTTTTTGGCTTTGTGTGTGCACTAAACTGCGCAGCCAAACAGCACTACTGGGAGCCTGGTATCTCTGGTTGAGGGGCAAGGTTCAAAACGGTAAGACAAGGATGTCATGAGCATCAAGATAGGGTGAAAGTGAGTGAGTGCTAAGACAGTGAGCATGCAGCCTGGAGATGTAGCTTGGTCCAGTCCATGAACTGGGTACATGTTGCTAAACGCAAAGTGTCCTTCCTCCAGCATTGCAATGACATTGGCCGATGTGCCCCGAGGTCTGGAAATAAGGAAGTATCTTGAAGTGGATCAGAGATGTGTTGTGAGCATTCCTAGAGGCTGGCATTTGTTGGATGTCAATGTCTATGGAGATGGGGTGTATGTAGACTGTGCCCAATCATCGGTGGTATATGGTGTCCAACTTGGCAGGCCTTTGGAGTAAACGGTGAGCTGAAATAGCCAGGTATCTGCTCAGACTTCCATGCTGAGAATTCTTGCATTCAGTTTTCTCATGGTGGTTGGTACAATGGAAAGCTGCATAACAATGAGGCAAAATCTGCAGTTAGTAAAGTCACTAACCAGCAATAACACCCCCAGCAGGCAACTCACTGCTGCCTAGTGAGAATCTCGCCTTGACTCCTGGAACTGCATTAAAAAATGAGCAAGTTGTTCCTGATGAGGAGATAGGCCTTATTAGTCCTCTCAGTGAATCTGCGAAATTACTCAACATAGCCCATCTTGTTCATGGCCCCTTTAAGATTCTGCCCTGTGTGTCTATTTATAGACATACAAAAGAATCCCTGGATGATGCTGCTACTTGCATACAATTAAGCATAATGAACAAAATTACTCCTATGAAAATATTTATCCCTGGGCACCAATGTAGTGTATTGGTTATGTTGGAGTTGATTTTGACTGCCTTTGTCTCTGTTAATAGGCAGTATTGACTTCAAAATGGTGTTGATAGTTTTACTGTGTCTTTAACACTGTTGATGTGGCCAACTCAATTTGCAAAGGAGATTATTGCCATTTGGCTAAAGCACCTTCCCTTTTATTAGAGTTGAATGAGTGAGCCCAGCATTCTTCCTTACTCCCTTTCCTCAAGGTAATCCTCTACCTCCTTCTAGATCAGGACGCCACTTCCAAACATCAAGCTGTTGTGACCAGAACTGTCACTGACCTTCTCTCCTCTACAGATTTTCCATCCAGTGCCCCCAGACTCAAATAACCCACTCCTACCCTCACTGTTAAGTTCTACAAGCAAAACAGATCCAGTTGACTCATTATTTCAGACTGTTTCTGCCAACTGACCTTATTTATTTCCATATCAACTGTAATCTCAGTTTCCCAATATTCATGTCTGTTCTGATCCCCTATGTCATTTCAACAGTTTCCAGTTTCCTAACCTTATTATTTCTGCACTAGGAATGGTTAATCCCCTTGCACTGTGATGGTCTCAGAGTCCGCTTCCTTGAATGGAAACCGAACCAGTTCCCATCCATCACCACGTTCCCTCAGCCTGGTTCAGTTTATTTGTACTCACTTATTCCAAATAAAAGATACCTACATGGATCCAGTTGTACCTGCCATTTTGTGGGATATGTGGAACATTCATTATTCCAGTCCTGCTTATGCATCGGTGGCACCATGCGCTTTCACCTTGAAGTGGAAGGTTTCAATAAATTTGGCCCGGATATTCTGAAGGCAAGAGGGTCTTTGCAGCAGCATAGAATGGAGTTGCACGTCAGGACTCTGAGGAATCCTGATGCACCTGACTCTGGGAATTTCCCAAACAATTGAATTTTCTAATGGGCAATTACTGTGCTTCTAGGATTTATCAAAAAATTTAAACAATTTGGAAGGTCCAGACACACGTAAGCATAACAATTACCCAGGAAAAGCCTACTTGAATTCCTGGGTAACTATACAAATGATTCACCCAAGTACACTTCACTAAGCCCTTAATGCCCTCTAACATGAGCCACAGGCCACTGGTGGAGATGACCTATCTACCCCACATTTCAACCTGCCCCTTTGGATGTGACTGTCTCACCTCTGCCTGCTCTCACCCTGCTGGACCTGCCAACTCCACAATGTTGTAAGACCCAACTCCACTGGAACTGATCCCCCTTCACCTCTTTCTGACCCCACATTTCTGGACCCAAGATCCCTCCCCAGTTACCCCACAATGCAGCAGGACCCGATTTCAGTGGGGCTGACACCCTCACCCATCCTGCTGGTCCTGATACCCTTACCCTCACCCCCACCACCGCCCCCTAGCAGTGCCTGGCCCGGCCTAATCTAACCCTGCTGGACCCATCAAGACCCCTGTCTCCCATCCTAATCTGATCCTGCTGCACTCTCCATATCATGCCCAACTCCGGCCTGACTCAAAAACTCTCCATCCTCCAGGCAACCCACACTAAGTGCTCATGTTGTTAACTGGCACCCTAATCCTATCACCAGCCTGGCACGCGACCTCCCTATCTACCCACCTGGCAGCGCCACTTCCTTTACACATGCTGACACTTCACCTTTCCTCAGCTTGCCACTTGTCATTTGAGTCAGATACTGGGCCCCAACATCTCAGATAAACTCCATGACCACAGGCCTCATATACTCCATGCCCATGGACATTGGCATCTGACATGTGCCAGACACAAAGGATCCTCAATGCACCTCTCTAATCCACTTACAAGGCGCTTCTTCACTCGCTTTTCACCGGCAACGATCATAGTAATGATGCAGCAGGTGCCCTGTGCACTCAGGTACATGGCTTCAGCTCATAGACTGGACCAGGCAGCATCTCTGGGCTCTTTGCTCACGGTCATAGCATTCACTCCCTCTGAGCCTACCTGAAGGTTCATAGAATCCCTGCTTTGTGTTACCTTGCCTTGACTTTGTGTCCTTTCTCCCCTGAGCCAGAGATACCAAGCTCACATTACTTTTATCTTGCCATGCTGTTTATCATAGGAAGCTTGCCATGGCTGTCAGCAGTCCTCAGTCAAGTCAGGAGGGCTAGCCTTCAGCCAGGGGCGCCAATACGGTAAGCCAAGGGCAGCCTCCGATACCAGTCCAGGAGCTTGGAGCTGATCGGAGAGAGTCAGGA